TGAGGACAGGCTGAGAGAGTTGGGGTTGTTCAGCCTGGAGAAGAGAAGGCTCCAGGGAGACCTCAGAGCAGCCTTCCTGTACCCAAAGAGGCCTACAAGAAAGCTGGGGAGGGACTTTTGACAGGGGCATGGAGTGACAGGACAAGGACCAATGGCTTTAAACTGGAAGGGGGAAAATTTAGATTAGATATCAGGAAGAATTTCTTCCCAGTGAGGGTGGTGAGACCCTGGCACAGGTTGCCCAGTGAAGCTGTGGCTGCCCCATCCCTGGAAGTGTTCAAGGCCAGGTTGGATGGAGCTTTGAGCAACCTGGTCTGGTGAAAGTTGTCCCTGCCCATGGCAGGGGAGTTGGAATGAGATGGTCTTTAAGGTCCCTTCCAACCCAAACCATTTTATAATTCTATGATTAGTTACGTGCATGATCAGGGCTCTAGGTCACCAAGACTCTCTGACATGGTTCAAGACTGGAATATGAGCATAGTCCATTCAAACTTGTGATTTCAGGCAGGTGCGTGTTAAGTGATGTAGTGAAGCCAAATCCAATTGCACATAAAGCAGCTGATGGGTACTGTTGGTATTATAATATAAGCTGTTGAATAAAGTGAGCAGAGTTTGGAAAATTGTCAAACAAATGAGTGATTTAGTAAATGGAAATTCCTTTTTTGTTTTATAGTCAAATTAATGCAGAGCAATTAATTCATTCAAACCTATATAACTCAAGCTTTTCTTTCTTTGATTTTTAAAGACTTATCAAATGCATAGAATTTGTAGAGTTCCTTGTGTAGTGCACAGGTGTAGTTGCTTCTTGGCTGACACGCTTTCTTTGATAAGTCTTTCTGTGTTCTGAAGCACTTAAGCTTTATTGAGAATGAAATATAAAAAGTTTTATTTTTCTGTTTAACCTTTCAGATACCATTTGTGATTGTATTCATCTGTCAGCCACATATCCTGCTTTGTATATGGCTAGTTTACAGTTCCTCTCTGCCCTTTTGAATGAGGAAGGAAGAAGGCAGCTCCGAGATAAGCAGAGTATGTGTCACAATCCAACTATTAGCTTTCTTCTGGATCACGTTGAAGGATGCCAGGCATCAGTAACCCAACTTACCGCATTAATTATTCAGGTATTTAAAATTTGATGATGTGATTGCAGCATATATTTTTGCATTTTTTTATTTTGTTAAAAAGGAATGTAGTTACCTATTGATAAATCATTTCCACATATGAACCAAGACATCTTTCAGTTGAGACATCTATTACAGTCACTTCTGAAATTCACATAATAAGCTGGAACAATTGCAAAAAAGCAGCTACTTGGAAGTGCCTTGCAAGGCAATTTTGCTGCAGCAGCATGGTATGAAATCTTATGTAGAGAAAATGATACATAGATAGAATATGTTTGGCCAAATACTGATATGCTTTTTTTTCCCTGCTTTTCCAAACATGTAATGAGTTTTTTAAGGTTCGAGACATAGTTAATTCTCATTGTAAATGACAGGATTGTTGTTCTTAACAGCTGCCTTCGTAAAAATTATGAACCACAATGAATCACTAAGCCTTCTAGTTCATTCACCAGTAGTGTAAGATCCATGTTGTTGCACTTAAGGAGCATATATTAATGTATTTTCCCAACTAGTTTTAAATTGATCAGGTAGCATAATTCCACTAATTCTTTTAGTAACTTGTTGCTGGACATAATATATATTGGTGACAAGATAATTTGTGTGGTTTTTTTTTTCCTAGATCCTTATCCTGAATGTCTGTCTTGCTTAATGTAATCTCATTGTTCTTATTTATACTTTTATATACTGTCCTCAATGATTCTTTTACCTCCTTTATATTTACCTCCTTCACTTATTTACAGACTATTAAAATATCTTCCATTACCTAGTAGTAAGAGAAGGTATATGTGAAATTCGTGTTTAATTTGTTCTTCTCTCACAAATTGGTTCTTTTATCTATATACTCATTGTCCTTCTTTAAATTATATGCAGTTTGTCACTGTAACAGTATTAGTGATCCATGATTGGAAGTGTAGTGTTTGTCTGAAAGATGCACATAACCTACAGTATGTTATATGACATGATTTCTGATTTTCTGGACTCAGTGTCTTGTAATTATTTTTTTATAAGAATCATATTTAGTACTGTTTTGCTATGTAAAACATTTTTTTTCAACAAGTACTAGTGCACATTGGATGGCATGACCAAAATAAGGCTGCCTTAGTATCACTTCATCTCCTCTCTTCCTGTGATCGCTGAATTCTTGCAGAATAACCTCACCCCTACCAAGATCTTGTGCTGATCTAGGTAACGTCTGTCACGTAACCTGGGTTCCTTTGCTGCTGTGTTACACCACTGTGGCTCTATAGCCTTTATTGGGGCAGAGTAGTCTGTCCACTGAGAACCTGGGGTCTTTTAGGGAGGGAAAGCTTCCTAAGAGGATCATTCCTGGCGTCACTGTTTAGACCGCTAAAACTAGAATTCCCTATCTCTTTGGCAACTAATTTCAGATAATTTCAGTGCATAGAGATTTCCTGTGAGGACATGGTTTTCAGTGACTCACAGCAAAACAGGGACCCTTCACTTGAAATCCCATAATTTGCTAAATATCCTGTTAGGTTTTTTCTTTAATGCTTATGTATGTGCCTAAAACTGAACTCCTTGGCTCTGGCACAAGAAATGCTATTGCATGAAAGGATGTCAGACAAAGAGATGTTGTGTTGTAAGTCCCATACCTCTATTTTCGTACAAGTATACATAGCTGATTACCAATCTTTGGCAGCAAAAAGTGATGATTCTTATGGTGACAGCAGAAAAAGTCTATTCAGTGAAGAATTAACTGCAGCCAGGCCAATGAAAGTTCATCAGACACTATGACATAGTTTGAGTATTGTAACAGATATACCAGCTTTTAACTTGCTCTTTAACTGTTCAGAGGTGTAGACGAACATTGTATTTTGTTCATAAAAGATCTCAAAAAATAACCTGTGCTGTTTGGGACTTTATAATACAAGAAAGGGAAGTAGCTGCTGTCATCCCCCAAAAAGAATAACAGAATTAGGAAAGAAACAGCTTCAATTTGTTAGTGCAAAGTACATATATTTATTTACTTCTCCCTCCTCATGGTGGTCATTGAGAGGCAGTTGAAAGAGGAGCCCATAGGATGTAAGGTAAGCTATTATTAAAAAAAAAAAACCCACAACCCCAAAAGATTTTTATGATCTTTCTTCAAAAGAAGCACTCAAGGAAATAACGTAGAGAAAGGCTGTGAGAGAGAATTTTCAAACAATCAGTCATATCCGTTAATCATCCTAATTACCTAAAATCTACAGAATAGGTGATATGCAATGGTAAATGCTACCTTAGGACCCGGTTTGCAGGTGTGAATATTGGCAGACCAGGTCCTAAATTAGTATGCATTATTGCATACAACCAATTTAGTAAAATCGCATGCTGACTTCGAAAGGTTTTGGTGCTTTTGTGTATGTAAACTTTAACCCTTGTACACATATTTTCAAGATCAGAAATAAAAGTAACAAGGAAACCATAATCCATACTTACTGTCTCAAATTTAGGCCCTACCTTTTTTTTTCAAGATAAAAAATTCACAGTGTGTTAGAAAGGCTGTGATCTCCCCTTCAGCTAACTTACAGTAGGTACAGACTAACATGGCTAGATCTGCTGTGGATTTATGGGACATCTTAGATTTATTATACATCATAATTTCAAAAAAGAATAAAAGTGTCCATTCTCATTTTAATACTTTAATACTAGTAGTTTAAAACTATAGAATCTGCTGGCAGAAGGCATTATAAATTCACATAGAGTTATTTTTTCCATTCAACTAGTAGTTAATAATAAATTATTAATTATTTAAGTGTTCCCTATGACATAAATTTTCTTTTTTTATTATAAACTGCAATTGTTGATTACAGAGTAAGGAAAAAATGCATAAAGGAGCATGCTTCAAGAATGGAATTTTGCTAGTTTTTAAGATAAAATTTAGAAAATAAGAAGTTTTAATTTCATCTTACTAAAAAGACACAGGTATAGGACAACTGACCTTAATTATTTAATCAGTTCTAATCAGCCACATAATATTTGATTAAAGGAAAACACCAAGAGATTGACAGGGAAATACTTTTTTTTATTACTAAAATATTCCTAAGTACCAAGAAAAAAATAAAAACAGCTAGCAATTTAAGGGGCAAAAGCCTTTGAGGGGATAAATCACAATGTCTACATTTTAGATTATGCAGATTGAAGGAACTCAACATTTTGTTTTTTCCTGGCTTATGTAAATAAGCATCAAGTTTAAACTTTAAGCTTTTTATATTTTTAACTACTGAAACATCTAAATTCTTTAATTTGAAAAGAAACCACCACCTATCAGTAGAGAAAAATAGTTAATTTACTCAGAACATTCTTGTGTTGCTGATAGCTTTGAGATTCACTTGGGATCTGTTTAAACCAATTGTAGTCTAAATGTGAAATTTTTTTTTAGCTATAAATGCAGAACCCAGTCCATGCTTTGGTGCTTTAATTTGGTGTCAGTTGTCCTTATCAATGAGGTTGGTTTTTATTTTCAAGTTATTAACTTACTCGTCTTCATCCCTTGACCTTTTCAGTCCTGGTTACACTGAATGCTTCAATAAACTATAACCTTACAGCGTACATTGATTATTTTGTTGCATATTAATATTTGAAAAAATTGTGAGAATTACTAGCTAGAGGACTAAAGCCAGTAAAAGGTGATATGTGTGATGTATGTAGAGGTGTGAAATCTATGAGGTACTACAGATAGGTACTCATGAGATTTCTGTCTGAAGTATTAAGTTTTTCTTAAGATGCTGTATTTTTGGCTAACTTTAACATATGGTTTTCTTTCTACTATGATCCAGCAACAGTTCCTGTTTTACTATATTGTTCTGATTACAATGCATACCATTTTCTGTTATATTGGATGTCAGTATTGGAATGATATTTTAGGGAAAATTGCTAGATGGACAAAATTCTCTGGTGGATAATATATAAACCAGAGACAGCTCCTCATCTTTCAACTATCTTGTTATATGACTCTAAATATTCCTTTGAAAGCACAGAGATTGTATTTATGTTATTAGAAATACAGTGGTGCTCACAAAGGCCTCACAAAAATGACAAACTGCCATTTTTCTCTGGTTGGAACAGTATCTAAAAAAAACTATCCATGTGTCAATGATATTTTTATTCTAAAAAATTTCCCAGATGTTTAATGTCTCCTCTTCATCATTGTGTTGAAGGAAAGTGAGATTGCACTAAAGGCATGTCATTGAATTGTCTGCAATAGTAAGTCTGAATGTTAGGAAAGGTCTGGAATGCCAGGGCTGGGAATCTAGGCTTTAGGAAGGTAGAATGTTAAGAAAAGAGTAAGAAAAGTGGGCTTAGGAGCAAAAGAAAAAAAATTCTTTTTTTAACATTTTCATTAGAAAAAATAATAAAACACTTCAATGCAGACAGACTATAAACATGAACATAGAGAGGGAGAACTCTGGACAGAAATATAGTGGTGAATCATCCAAATGAAAATATAGACTATGGCAACGTATTTATAGATATGAATACTACATTTAATATGGTCATTTTTTCATTTTGGTAATGAAATCGCATTATTTGTAGGTCTGTGAAAGAAAATCTTCAAAGGATGTGCTGAAAGAAGTTGCTACAAATACACTGCTGTCTCTGTTAGCTGTCAGTAAAAATGCCCAGAAATGTGCTTTGGAAGGTGAGCATTTCAAAATGTGTGTTAAATGATCTATGAATCAAATACTTGCAGGTATATTACATATTTTTAAAATCATAATGTTTTTTGTCAAAACAAAAGACGTAGTTTTCAGTGGCATTTTTTGCAGATTTTTACAGAGAAAGGTTATTAATAATTAAAGTTTTCAGCTACAGGCAAAATATTATATTGTAGCCAGTCTAAAAATTTGTGATGAAATTACAGTTCTCTGTTAGAGTGAAAAGAGACCCGTGAGGTTTTACTGCTAGTGGCATATTCATCTACTGATGATTTTGCACTGGCAGTATCTTTCATTTCTTGTTTCATACTATGCCAGTACAGGTTTGCAGGTGAAAGTATGCCCTGTGTTCTCAGTTCTGGCTGTACCAAGACAAGGGAGAGACTTCTTTTTCTCAGCATGTTTTTTGTGCCTCTTTGTTTCTTTCTTCCCATTTTACAGTTTAAGTAGGACCTTCTCCCCTTGCAATGCGACATCTTTTCATGCCCAAGGTTTTTAATTGACCGTAATAAAACAAAAGTTTAAAACCTCTAATCAAAGGCATTTTGTGCCTACTAGAACACAGGGGAGACTGGTTAATTCGCATTTCTCATGTATCATGCATTTAATACCTGCTGATCAGCCCAAGTGCACTTTGTCTTGGGTGCTTTCTCATTACTTTCATCTCTCCGTTGGTTTGTTCGGTCCTTTAAACTTCACTACGCTGAAATAGATAGCCTAGACATATCTGCTCAATGTCCGATCCCAATAGTGGCGGAGAACTCTGAACTTCAATTTCTATGCTATATACCTACTTTCTGCTCTTTCCCAATGTATTGGTCGTCTACTCAGGCCTTGCTTCAGTTAGCATTGTTCTGATGATGATGACCCACTAGATCATCTAAGACCTGACTTCCTGTGAAGGCACTACCAGTGCATGAAGTCATCGTGTTCTATGCTAGAGCAGCCTTCAAGCCATCCTTGCTGTGATGCAACACAATTCTTAGAGAAGAGAAGAGTTCTGAGGATCAAATCAATGTCATAAAGATATCTGTAGCTCTAACATCGCCTGCTCAGCTCTTAAGGACTACTTTTTAAGATACAAATGCAAAGTCCTGTAGCTGGAAAGGATCAGCCCCTTACAGCAGTACAGGCTGCTGGGGAGCTGAAAAGGATCTTGAGGTCTTGGTAAGCAGCAAGCTGAATGTGAGAAAACTTAACAGCATCCTGCACTGTGTTAACAGGAATACAGCCAGTAGATCAAGAGGAAAGGATTATCTTATCTCTATTTAGCAATTTTTAGACCAAATCTAGAATAATGCATCCAGTTTTGGCCCAGTATGAGAAAGACATCAACAAACCGGAGCAATTTCAGCACAGGGTTGCCAAGGTGGTTGTGTCCACCTGTTCTTAGAGGAGAGATTGAGGGAACTGGCCATGTTCAACCTGGAGAAAAGAAGGTTTTGGGAGGACCTAGTACAGCCTTCTTGTACCTATAGGATTTTGAAGAAGACAGAGCCAGGTTTCACAGCAACGTGCGGCCTAGGAGGATGAGAGAGAGTGGGCATAAATTGAAACATGAGAGACAGACTGGCTGTGAAGAAACAGTTCCCCTTTGAAGGCAATCAAGCTGTGGCTAGACATACTGTACAGTCTCTGTCTTTGGACATTTTCAAGGCCCAACTGGTTAAGGTCTCAGGTAAATTGCCTGGTCTTATAGCTGACTCTGCTTTGTGCAGGAGGTTGGACTATATGACCTCTGGAGGCAGTCTCTTCCAACTTGAATTGTCTCATGAGCCTATGAACATAGACATTAGAATAGTTTGCATTAGAAGGGACCTTTAAAGGTCATCTAGTCCAACTGTCACTGCAATGAGCAGGGACATCTTTCACTCCATCAGGTTGCTCAGAGCCCTGTCCAGCCTGACCATGAATGTTTCCAAGGATGGGACATCTCTCTGAGCAACCTGTTCCAGTGTTTCACCATCCTCGTTGTGACAAATTTCTTCCTTATATCTTGTCTGAATCTACCTTCTTTTAGTTTAAAACCGTTACCCCTTGTCCTATCAATACAGGCCCTGCTAAAAAGTTTGTCCCCATCTTTCTTATAAGCCCCCTTTAAGTACTGAAAGGCCGCAACCAGATTTCCCCAGATCTTTCTCTTCTGCAGGCTGAATAACCCCAACTCTCTCAGCCTGTCCTCACAGCAGAGGTGCTCCAGCCCTCGGATCATCTTCATGGCCTCCTCTGGACTTGCTCCAACAGGTCCATGTCCTTCTTGTGCTGAGGACCCCAGAGCTGAAGGCAGTACTGCGGCGGGGGTCTCACCAGAGTGGAGCAGAAGGGCAGAATCCTCTCCCTCGACCTGCTGGTCATGCTGCTTTGGATGCAGCTCAGGATATGATTGGCTTTCTGGGGTGTGAGCACACATTGCCAGGTCATGTCAAGCTTTTCATTCACCAACACCCTCAAGTCCTTCTCCACAGGGCTGCTCTCAATCCCTTCATCCCCCAGCCCATATTGACACTGGGGGTTGTCCTGACCCATGTGCAGGAACTTGCACTTGGCCTTGTTGAACCACATGAGGTTCACATGGGCCCACCTCTTGAGTTTGTCTAGGTCCCTCTGGATGGCATCCCATCCCTCAGGTGTGTCAGCTGCACCACACAGCTGTCTATTTTATTGATGAAGATATTGAACAGTACTCATCCCAGTACGGACTCCTGAGGAGCACCACTTGTCACTGATCTCCATCCAGATATTGAGCTGTTGACCACTACACTTTGGCTGCAACCATCCAACCAATTCTTCATCCACCAAACAAGCCACCCATAAAACCTGTATCTGTCCAATTTAGAGAGAAGCATGTTGTGGGGGACCATGTCAAAGGCCTTACACAAGTCCAGATAGATGACATCCGTAGCTCTTCCCTTGTCTATTGATGTAGTCACTCCATGATCTTGTAATAAATTAAAGACTCTAGATCCCAAGAAAAGAGCCTAACTCATCATTTTGCACTTTGAGTCACGTGAACATTTGCTTTGCTTTGTCTCACCTCAGATGCAGCAAATCTGATGCTATTATAGAAGAACTGGGCAAGATAAATTATGGAATCATAGAACCCTTATGGTTGGAAGAGACCTCAAAGATCATCAAGTCCAACCATCTACCCAATGCCACCATGCCCACTAAACCCACTAAACCATATCTCAAAGCGCCACATCTAAAAGTTTTTTTTTGAACACTTCCGGGGATGGCGAGTCCACCACCTCCCTGGGGAGCCTGTTCCAATGCTTAACGACTCTTAAATGCATGCCCTAACCTCTTGAAGCTTCAGTCTTCTAGGCAGCATCAATGAAGATATCTTGAAGAGTTGCTATGCTCTTCCTCCCAGATCATCTTCCCCTCTCCATCTTATCAGTCCTTCATTTGGGCATTGCTGTCACACTCCTGTGTTGCAAATGATCTCAAATGTATTCTTGCTTCTTGAGATCATTCAACTAGACATGCTCCATCTCGGAGACTGTTAGTTGCTTCCTGATAACAAGAAGATAACAATATATTATGAACTCACAGAAATTGGACATCTGAATCCTTAAATCTCAATTCAGGAGGGTAACAGTAATCAAGATCATTGCAAGAAAGGTATTTTATGTTTCATAAAGTATTTTTGATTGTGAAAGAACTTTTAAATGTTTAATATTTTCTGTCTTCCAGTTGACCTGATAGACAACTGTACAGAAAACATGAAACACATTCATGCACAGCTGAATTTGGATTCCCTAAAGCCTGGGAAAGCACAGAAAAAAAAGGTAACTATAGAAACTAAAAGACTGTTATGGTAAGGCACTTCCCAGCTCTTTTTTGCTTGGTTTGGTTTTTATTCTTCAGGTTGATACTGTTGGTATCTGTCACAAGTGAGACAGAGTAAATGACAACTTGTAGTGGATCTGGATACTGGGACTTTTTTAAGATTCAATTATTTTAGAGCTTTTACCAACTTGATTATCTCACACACTCACTCTCCCACTCAGAGTTATGTTCAGTAGGTCTCAACCTACTTTTCCAACATGGAGATGACTGCTAGTTTAGGAAAGTCAGGCAGAAAATCACATCAGTTTGTGCTTTGCAGCTGCTCAGTTACCAGTCTTGGGTGTTACCGGCCAAAGCACCCAGGCATGCAATGGTGTTTGTCTCCATGCATCTCTCTGGTCTCCAGGATCTTCTCTCACTTGCAGGATTGTTCCTCCAGCCAGGATCTTCACATTCTTCTTTTGGGGTCCATTTCTTTCTTTCAGAGACCATTTCTTTTCAAGAATCTTTCTTTTCACCACCAGCTTTTCTTTTCAGAACTATAATCTCCTGTTCACCTAATCTAAATAATCTGTGTGAAGTATAACATGTTATCAGCCTCCAAATTAATGTTTCTGTCTCATGCGTTTTCATTAGCTGAAGGATTCGGGACTTCGCACTTCTAGTCCAGGTTATGAGAATTAGCAATTAGCCCATTCTGGTTGAAACCAGCAACCAGCAGGCTACTGATTGAGGGTTTAAAAGTTCAGTTTCAGACATTCACTCAAATATATGTTTGTCCATTTGTCACCTGCCAGTGCTCATGATTTATGATATTTATTTAGCCTACAACAATATCTAAGAGTACTGTATTATTTTTCAAACATAGTTGGACTTTCAGCCTTGACTTCATGGTCCTATCCAATCCAGGTAATTTTTTCCATCTTGCTTCCACAATAATAATTTTTATTTCTCAAGTTTTCCTTCTCAGTGTCTTTCAACTAGTGCTAGCTATTTTGTTTTTTTCTGTTCCCGTGCCAGTCAATCTCTCTCCCACCCCAAAACCAATTTCAGTCTGCTTGTGCATGTAAGTTATAGTTTTTCATTCTCTACCTTCTCATATTACCTGACTTCCAATTCTAATTCTTTTTCTGTCCTCCTGCATACTTGATCTGGATGTCTCAGTCTCTTGTCATCAGACTCAGTTGTCCCTGGCTTTAACTTCTTATTAAAGAAGAGTTGTTTGGTTTTTGTTTTTTTTAACCTCATACTTGCGGTCCTTCCACCACCTCCCGGTTTCTTCTCTCCATTGACAATTTCTTTGCTTAACCTTCTTTTTTAACCTTTGTTCCAGTTGTTTCAGACTCTCACATCACCCAGCTCTTCCTTACCACATCTAGACATAGATTATGTCTTACAACAGTTTCATAAGACATTTGTTGCAATCTGCTTGTTTTCTACCACTTTCACCTAAGAGAATCATTAAAATACAGACAGTAACCTCTGCTGTCAAGTTTGATATCTTGTCCACTCTCACATAAAGCAGAAATTGCAGAAAACATTTTCCTGCAGGATATTTCTGCATTGTTTGAGCTCAGTAGTGTTTTTCTCTGAGGTGTTGGCACAAGCAGATATTAGCCTTGATTTGTGAGAGTGTGGAACTGTGTTTTATAACAATGAGCTCTTAAAAGAATTTGAGTTTGACCCTGATATTTGAAGGTTACAGTATTTTTATTTTCTTGAGATCTCCTAAACACATTTATTATCCCTTCTTCAAGAGGTGGAGGCTGAAAGATATCCTGCCCTGGATATGTCCAGTAAGGTTGAAGTCAACTGGTTCTTTGTATTTCTTGGGTTGAGAAGCTGGGGACATTTGCTGCTCTGCAAAATGTAGAAGGAATTTAAAACTTGAAAGAAATGGAAGAAAAGGAGCCTCTGAGAATGCTCGGAAAGACTGTTTATGTTTAATTAAGTATTCTTTGAAAGAGATTTGCAAAAGACTTTGTGGCAGATTTCACTGCTGAACTAGGACTATGGGTTGCTCCATCATATGTAAGCATGCTGTTCATCATATGTGGTGTATAATGACAAGCAATCTAGTTTCACGTAAGGGAAACTGAGATACCGCTTTCGTAGTAAGATTTAGCTGATCACTCACAAAACTGCCACTCAGCCCATTTTCAAGGCACAGCTCTCACAGTGAAGTTATCAGAGCTTCTTTTCCTTTTTCTTTTAACCTGTTGGGAAAAATGTGTTTGACCTAGCTTCATTCTCAGGGCGACTGAAGTATTTTACCTGATACTCCTTTTCTTTCACAATAATTACTGTGATGCTAACTGAGGGTATGAAAAGTATTTACAAATAGCCAAGTTTTCAAAATAACCCCCTCAAAGTAGGATCTCAGTAAAAATCGAGATATTCTAAAATAAAGAAATACGAACAGTGCCATCAATACAATCTATAACTTTTTCGACCTCCTAGAAGTTTACACATTAAGTATAAGTTGTAGCTTGTGGCATTTTCTAGGATTTAGTGCTAGTTGTATTTATTAAATAAATTAATACGTATGGAAGTTCTTGAAGGAACATCTTAAGAGTTAGCATTTTATTTAGCTAAAAGTGAAACAAACCAATCATAACATCCGTTTGTAATGATGACTTGTATGTTTCTTTTTCATCTACTACACCTGATTTCATTAGCTTTTGTGTCATCTCTAAATGTCATCAGCTATACATGATATGATTTATAAGCAAGCATCGTTACTTCACCTTGTCTGAGATTAAGCATGAATCCTATTTTATATTTTTGTTCCTTTGTGCTTGATAAAACAGAAATAGTCTGTTGTGGTGAACAAGCTTACTGGAATTTGATTAGCTTTCAGAAGTGGTTTCGTATGTCAATGTCATAGAAGTTGGGTTAGCCATCATTAGCGTTTTAGTGTCACGGCACTATCATGAAGATAGATTTTTTTTTTAAAATTTTTTTTTTTTGTGAACTTGTATACTTGAATCTCAGTATAGCGCCTCACTGTCCAAAGGTCTGTATTTATCTTTGTAATATTCTTATCAGGTTGGAAACTATTTCCATTATTAAGGATGGTGAACTAAGACTCTAGGAATATAAGGATGGCTTGGTCTGACCAAATGTAGAGATTTGCAAGACAGAGCTAGTTTATCCTTGTTTTTATCCAAGCAAGAAAAATAGGTGCTTCTAGGGAGTGATTCATTTGACTTGATTTAAATGTCTGCTATGGGATGAAAGAAATACCCAGAAAATGTTCCCACACATTCTTCATTAGTTGTAAGGGAAATGGAGCTCTATATTACAGATCTGTGTTTTGCCAGATTGGTGCCCCTAGAAACAGTATCTCTGGGTTACAAAGAGAGATGAGGATGACTCCAAGTAACTTGATATAAATGTCTTTAGTATACCTGTTTACAGCTAGCTGCAATGAATCCTACCTGAGATCAGAAGGAAACTGCTGAAGAGATATGACCCAAATGTTGATGCCTTAGATTTACACCTCTCCTTTGAAATTTCTTTCCTCCTTGTACAAAATTCATTCTGGTCTTATGTTGATGATCTTCAAATATTTTTCTCTGGATAGGTGGATAACCTCATCAAGAAGTTAAGGTGTTCTATGCGGCTCCTCAGAAACTGTCTCTTTCAAAATGAAGAATGCAAAGTAAGTATTCTTATACTGAAATAATGTGAGCACATTCAGTTAGCAAATTAAGATAATTTATTTTTTTTCTACTTTGAAATTATTTTCAAACTAGCTAAATTTAAGCTTGATATTAATGGCAAGAAATACTTCAAATTTCATTATTAATCCCACCTCCTAAGAATATTTCATACATTCATTAGGAGCTCAATGTTCTTATTGAAACATCATGTCCCAAAGTTTCAGATGGCTATCATCCTTTATACCCACTTCTGCTTTGCTTAAATCAATAATTGCAATTTTCAAAGCATATAATGTGAAACGTGGATGTGGAGAAAAGTGTGGGGTCACAGGAAAGGTGCACAAGAGATACACTTCACATCTTGGAAAGTAATTTCCTCTCCTTATTCCTCTCTCCTGTTTTTCTTTCCTTTTCTGAAACACCACTGCCCCCCTCCCCTCTCTACCCCCAAAACAACCGAAAACCAAGCCCTAAATAATAATTTGCCGCTTACTTTTCTTTGTCTGAGTTAAAATTACACTAATCCTGCAAGGCACAATTTTGTTTTCATCTTGATTTCCCCCTGCTTCCCCCCCCCAAATTTTTCTTGCTCAGAGTCTTGTTTTGAATTTCTTCTTTTCACTTCACATTCTTTATCTTTTTCTCTGTGCTTTTCAATTTCTTTTCTACTTCAGTTCTTCTGCCTACCTCTTTTTTTCCATGGCAAAAATACATTACTTTTTTTCTCATTCTTTCCTGTATTCTTTCTTTCTTTCCGATCACTACGCTACCTCTTTCTTATTGCTGATACCTTTCACACATTTATTTCCATTTTCTCTTTCACAGTTTAATTTGTCTTGGCATTGTGATACAACTTGTACTACTTTTAACAAATGCATTGGTGGAACCACAAGGTTTCCAGACTTTCCAGAAGTACCCCTATTGAGGGCATGTGTTAGCATCCTTTTTGTATACAGAACACCATGTAAATTATGGGCCTGAATAAGCCATCTGGTTAACCCTAAGGTCCCCATAACTTGGTTGTGCCATAATCTCAGATAAGATTATTGTGGAATATTTTTCTTCTTTTAATCAGGACTCTGCAGAGATAATTGCTTGGAGGACAGAAGGAGGTTGCTGTTGATAAATGAAGTTTTCTGTCATCTGCTTTGTAGAACTGCACTCTTCTGTTTCAATGTTTTTTGAGTTCCAGTAATTAGTTTAGTTGGAGTAGAATAGAACTTTAGAATAGGGAGCTCTTGAACAACCACAGTTGGAATGAATAGATCTTTACTTTTGTTTGCATGCCTCTCCGTAATTAAAATGTGTGCTGATTTTGACTGGGATGGAGTTAATTTCATTAGTGTTGAATGAGGGTGTCAGTTCGCTCCATATAATCTTTTAAAGCAAACCAATGGGACACAGTAAGATTAAAAATATGCTTTTCTCACACTATTTATACTTCATTTTGAAAGTATTTAATAGTATAGTAATCTAAATTCTTCCTCATGTTCTTGTAGATGGCAGCACTCAAAGCTCATCTTGTTCCTGTTCTGCATGCACTATGGCCGTGGTTTTTAATAGACGACTCCTCAATGCAAACAGCTCTGCATTTGCTTTGTGTCTACACTGCAAACTATCCTGCAGGTATGAGAGTCAGTCTGTGATGTAATACCTCAAACTATTTAACCAGAATAATTAACCCAGAAAAGCATAATAAAGGGAAATGAATGTTTATTGCTACCATAAGAGGCAAGTATGAAAGCACTGGTCCATCAAAGTCTATCAAGAGTTTTGATTTTAATACATTAAAGACTTTTGTTCAGATCCTGTTTCAGTCTGTTGGATTTAGCAAGAGTACAATTGTATTAAAGGATTAAATAGCATTTAATTCAAACCATTATGTATGAAGGTTACGCTGAAAGTCCTGCCAAACTGAGTAGTGTACTGTAGAAATACTGCTGTAGGAACTATCTCAGAGAACAGCAGATCAGTACTTTATACAGTTTGTACTTCAGGTCTTATTGAGAACATTCTGGTTTTGAAATATTCAATAGTCTAATTTAATGCTGTATTAAATTTCTGCCATTTATTTATGCATTGGGCTCAGTAGCTTATATTTGTATATTTTTCATAAGGATTCGCTGCTTCATTTGTGGAGACCTTTTCTTTCCATTGATGCGTAATTATCCCCACTACCAGACACCTGTTCTTTTTTCTAGTATGAATTTGTCTCATTCCATTTCCTGGTTATTGACTCAGATAATGATTTCCTAGTGGCTTGAAGAGACATATAAGTATCTGTTGATTCCTTCCAGTCAAGATACCATAAAAGAAGTAGCATGGTTAACATTTATTAACTGAACAGTCTCTGAGCTATTTTTATTCTCTTCTTAAGTTACTATCTCCAGACCTTAAATGAGCTGCTGATGCTTTTTTTTCCATAAAGACTTTCTTTTAGTATAGAATGAAGAAAGGTCAAATATGTATTAGTCAAGCGCGGGATACAAAATTAAAATCTAATGTCCTGTGATTCACTGGAAATCAAGCTGAAGTTCTGATGGTCTTTCTTGTTTCTTAACTCTGAGTGACTCTAGGTTGCATTTTTATTTTCCTTGCTAATAAGGGCAAGTGTTTTTAGATTAATCATGTTTTTTCTTTCTGTTCAGAATAGTTGGCTTGTGAGGTGACACAAATTTACCTACTCTGAACTGGTTAACCAATTCCTCTTAGTGTAGTGAGACAAAGAAATGCATGTAGATGTTTGCAACAGTTAAAAACTGTCTCATTTTTATTTACTTTTGCCATGTAAGAAGTTAACCATTGTTGCAGATGGCAAATGCCACTCAATAAAAAGGTGTATATGCATATTTGTGCGCAAACATCATGTTGGTTACTTAGTTGTTCCCTGCTGCTGTATTAATTTGAGCTTGTAGCTCTGTAGCATAGGATTTTGCATGCTACTGTGGCACAAGGTAATGACAGATGCAGACGGCGCTTTTATTTCTCAGAAAAATACTTTAAGAAACTTATTAAACCTTTCAGATGTCTAGAGACTTCTTTTTTCTGAACCAGTTTCAGAGGGTCCATTCAGATTCTGATGCCAAATAATTGTGTAATGCCTTGGGTACAATGTTCTGGTTTTTAAGGAGACTTTTTGAGACGGAGCAGTGGCTTCTCTTTAAGGAATCACCTCTTAGGTTATAGAACAATAGAACAGTAGACATCTATTCCAGTAAACTGCTACGTTCAACCACGTTTCTATTCAAAGTATGTCCCATTGATTTCACTATGGTTCAAAGAAAAAAAAATAATTTCAAAAGTCCCATCTCAGTCTTTGAGCTGTTAGACTGTTCTTTCTAGAGATCTTTTTTTAATATATATGTGCATTTCTCATATGATAAACGTGTTATTTCTTTAAGGTTGTGCTTCACTTTGTTGGGCCAGTGGTGGACAATCATCACTTCCATCTGCACGAAGTGCCGCTGGCAATTCATTAATGCATAACGTCTTGAAATTGGCTTCCCAAGTGTCAAACGATAACAGCCCAATTCAGCAGGTGGTATTTTGTCTTCTTTCTAACCTTGCTCTGTCTCATGACTGTAAAGGCATTATTCAGAAGGTAAGTAAATAATATCCTTGATTTTAGCAATGTGATGGTTGCATTTTCCGTTTTAATAAATCTTCATATTTCAGTATGGAGTGTCCTGTGATCATATAGAGTTCCTTCTGCGGGAATCAAAACCATTGTGTCTTCTCAGTTAGTTGTGTTACTGTTCCCTAAGTGTAGTGCGTAATTCAGTCATATTCATAGTCTGGACAGAAGCAGCATATGGAACTACACAATTTTTGCTAGAGCTTTTTATAACCTCTCAGTGGGGTGTAAAATTTTTAATACCCATATATGTTCATAGCAATCACTAGTGGATCATGAAAGTGCACATACAGTAGAACAAACTGCATGTGAGTAAACAAGAAATTAAACATTGTATAAATCATTAGGTGTGAAATATAATCTTTATAAATAGAGAAAATGTCCTGCATGTCAGTAATTGGCTGTTAGGTAGAAATCTATTCTTATTATATAGATGTAAGTACTGTCTTTTCCCTTTTTAATTTGTATCTTGAATAATCCTTACTCTATTTTTATCAAATGTTCTTTGAAAAATCTGTTTCTTTTAAATGTAATTTTGTTCATTTAAATAAATTCAACACCTTGAGACAAGAAGTCAAACCATATAGAAACTCAACTATAGTGGTGACATGATGAAACTAGCTAATACAAAAGAAATTGAGCAGTGTGGTTGTTTTTAGCATCTTTTATAGTAGTTTAAGACTTACAACAATTTCTTTCAATTTACATTAACAATGTTCTGTGCTTGGACCTAGTTACCTGTTAGAAAAAGCAGGGGGGAAATAGGATCTTTTTGTGGTGCTAATTATGTAAAACCTGGTCATACAGTTACAGAATTGCTGATACTCAAACTTTTTGATAGAAGCAAAGAGTTTGAGATCTTTTCTATGGTAGTTCTTCTGTTCTGTAGTGTGAATTGTTTTGGCTTTTGTTGTCTTCAGAGTTTCACTCTAGTGATAGTGCTTAGTCTTTATTCTCTCTCCTAAGCTCTGCTTTCATAAGTGTAAGCAATGCTGAACTGCTAATTCCATCTGTGAAAATTAAATTACCAATATTATAATCACCTGAAGAAAACCACAATGAGTTTGTATGCTGGATTTTTTGCTTTCGACCAAGTGCCTCTATGTGTTGTCAAGGGTCAGTGAGGTTGGGGAATGTTTAGTCAAGGACTTTTTTCACGTAGGAATGTTATGTTAGAACATCTGCCTCTTGCAACAAGGGAATAGATTTTCACCTACTCCGACTCTCCTTAAAGTGTAGGCAAACCCTGAGATTGGGAAGCGGTAGTTTATGCCATATCAACACACAGATGTTTTTCTTCAGAGCTTACAAAACCAGAGGATGTTACTATGGCTGTCGGTGAAGCGGGAGGTGGTATTATATATCCTTATGAGTCCCTTTCAGCTCGAGATACTCTATGATACCTTTAATATTTGCTAGTAACACGAGCTATAACAAATAAAGAATTAAGAATACATTGGATAAGTAGTACATTGATTCAGTTGAATTGTTTCTAGCTTATTTTTAGGCAGAAAGGCTAAATGCAAAGCAAAAAACTTAGGTAGTGGAGGGAATTAGCCTTTAAAGAAATATATTGTGTTGGGTCAACTTTTATGTCTCTACACTGCATAAATTATTACAGAAGAAAATGTGTTTTACCATATTAACTTATTAACCAAGATGTGGATTCTTTTCTGTATGTAATTATTTCAAAAATCCTTGCCTAATGATGGATTCCCTGAAATACATAAATCAGTACTAGTTTTTGGTCAAGTATGCAGATTGGAAGATCAAACAGCAGTGAATAAACCATGGAATAAAATAAATTCTAACATCCTTTTTCTTCCTTCTGACAGAGTAACTTCCTGCAGAACTTTTTGTCTCTTTCATTACCAAAAGGAAGTCATAAAAATCCTAGTAATGTGTCTACTCTTTGGCTAAAACTTCTACTGAACATGTCTTTTGGAGAAGATGGACAGCAGATGATCATGAAGATAAATGGTTTTTTAGACCAGATTGTGGAAATGTGTAAATACAAACACAAGAGCAGCCAACATCTGGCACTTCTTATTCTACACAACGTATGTTTTAGTCCACCTAACAAACCAAAGATATTAGCTAACGGTAAGTATCTAACGGGTATACAAGCTATTTTACTCTGAGAATATTGTGGCTTCCAGAGTACTGTCTTTTCATTGCAATTTGGATTACTGACCAAGAACTCAATATTGTTATTTAGAAAAGCATTTTTATAAAAATTATTTTCATAGAAGTAATTGCAGAACATATATTTTGGCAGAAAAGCAATGAAAATAATATATAGCAAAAGGAAAATCAAATAAATAGTTTTTTAAAAAATCAAGATTTATTGTGAGACTGATCATTTGAATATAGTAACACATTATGAATGAAAGGATTTTTGCAGTTTTCTCCAACAGCTACTTTTTCCGGGAGGGTTTGAAGGACTCTTTGTGTCAGTCAGTTTGAAATAACTGAGGTTCCTATCTTTCAGATGGACAAAACCTTATTAGCTCCTGTAAGTCATGGATGTTGAGACAAACTATTTTGTGTTCTGTCATGTGCAGAAAACGTTTATGATAATGTTATAAGTTATGTTCATGATGTATATATTAAATGTAACAATGTGCACAGAACTTTTTTCTTGGTTGTTTTTAAAAGGCATGTTTCTTACCCCCATTTAATAGCAGAGAAAATGCCCCTGTCTTTGGTACAAGATCTCAGCAGGTTTTCCATAGTGTCCATGCTTTTCACTTTTTCCTAAGATGCTGCCTTAATTAAGCATACATTATTCAGTTACATAATCTGTGAATTTTTTATTACAAAGTGAACAAGCAAACTTGAAGAGTCTGGCTTCAAGTCAAGGCTAGGAAATTAAACCACCTACAGTGGGATCGCAAATATTTCTCATTGGTTACAAATCATCTGCATAATAAGTACTAAGGAAAATCGAAACATCTTAATTTCCATCCTGATGTGGCTCTAATTGTGGCTACTGGGACCTGTAAAACAGTTTCATGGCTTACTCGGTCCCTATGCGTGTACATAACATGCTTGTTTTATTACTGGTGGCTTAATTTTTTTATCATTGCTTGGTTTTGGTTTGCTATATTCTTTTAACACTTCTTACAATGTAGTCTGCTAATTTCGTGAGCATATTTAAATTTAATTAATCTGATAATAAAGTTTCTGTAATTGCTCTGCCATACTGGTACTTGTCATAGAAATAAATGTACTCCAAACATCAAAATACTGAGACATGTAAACGTATTTGTGTGCTTTTGATGGTATTTTCTAGATGCAGGGGTTTTTTATTATTATTTTTCTCATTAGATAAAGCAATTGGAGTACTGGCTGCCTGTTTGGAAAGTGACAGTCATGCTGTTCAGAGAATAGGAGCAGCTTCGCTTTGGGCTTTGCTTCATAACTATCAGAAGGTTAGTATTTGAGAAATACTTGCAAAAATTGTAATGTTACTTTTATGCTGTAAACAATACAGTAACCTTTAAGTAAATAAAAATAAAGTTTACAGTAGCAGTTCCATTTTATTATTTTAATTGCATAACTGCTCAGGCTAGGAGGTTAAACAACATGATAAGGAAGCAGCTTGTCCTCTCTGATTTATGACTGCTTATATAAATGCAATCTGTATGATGATACAGTCATACACTAATTCTGAAATTCCTGTGTCTCATGTTCTGCTGAATTATTGTCATTTTCTTCCTGTTAAAGTGTGAATATGTGGGGAAGAAAGTCAATGTATTTTGTGTGTTTGTGTGTGTTACAGGCAAAAGTGACTTTGAAGAATCCATCAATAAAGAGAAGAATAGATGAGGCTTATTCTTTAGTGAAGAAAAGTAAGTCTTACTTCCAACTGATGCCAATGCTGTATTTTTCCATCAAGTAAATCATTAATACATTTCATTATGATATAATAATTTATATCATCACAATAAGTTTTTGTTGTGCTACAAGTTTTTCAAAGGATACTTTTGTCTCTAAAATCATGAGTAGTAATACGGTTTATGGTTAGGCATCTCATAAATACAGATATAAAAAAATGCCTCTTGGTTAACAAATTATAAATAAGGCCTCAGGTAATTGCTAAGGTTAGTTTGTAAGAATAGGTCTGATCATGCTTGCAGCAGAATGCATTCTTTGCACAGTACACTTCTGTGTTAATTCTTAAATTTAGTGATAAGAAAAATCGTTCATTTAGCACTGACATTGCCAAACAACGCTCAACCTCACTGTGTTCAGACACGTAGGCAAGGGTTCAGAACAGATCATTGTACCAATTTTAAAATACTGCACCATGAGTTAACTTTCTTTCTGAAAGCTTGAGTTTTTTTCTCAAGTAACTGAACATAAGTATCGCTTGAATAGCTTTTATACGATAGGTTGCTATCTTCAGCTTGACAGCATTCATTTTGAAAGATGTTCAAACCTGGTCTGTAGCTGGAGCTTCAGTAGCTAATAATGGGTTTATTGGTGGTTAGCTACATCAAGACTCTGATCTTGCAAAAACATGCAAATATCTCATTTTAAGCCAATGAGTTTTCTCACTGATTTTAGTTGCTCTATAGATGTACTCAAATAGATTTATCAGCTGGGGGGCTGATAATACCAGCTTCCCATAGTATTTTGCACAACGGAATTGCCCCAGCGTTTCTGCCCACATTGAACATTGTTTGTCAGTATCCTAGTAAGGAAGAGATGTATTTTTGCTAGAACATCTCATGATCATTCTTCATGCACAGTCACCCAAATCCATCGATTTTGTTGATGTACTATTGTTTCAAACGCATCCTTTACTAAGTCAATCGTTAAACATGATATAATGCAACATTTCTTATACCGATAGTGTGTTAATCAGTATGTGAGTTTGTATTGTTCTTTAGACCGTAACTGCCACTGATGAGCAACTCTTCAAAATGTTATGTTGAATCAACAAGGGAGAAATACGCAGCTTTTACAGACTAGCAACTCGTAAAATTATTCCCCATTTATTTATGTGCTGCTTTAGAACATAAAGTCCTAGACTGAAATATTGATTTTTTTTTTAATTCAATAAGCATTTAAATACAAAAATATTGAGTATGAAAGATTTCATACAACTGTAATTGTTGCAGTTTACAGTCATGTGAACTTGTCATCTATATTTTCCTGCATTAAGGTTCTCAGCCATCTTACTTAGTAAAGCTTTGATCACTTTACAGTGATGATTGGGCTAAAATGGTAGATTGTTGTTCTCCATGCAAGTAGGGCAATTTTTCAGCCTGGCTATTGTTATGTTACATTTCCCACTTTGTGCTAACCAAGGATAAGTTTGGGAAGAACAAGGCATGACCTCATTTTAACATAGCATAATCGAAAGGCAATTTTCACTTTGTCACAACTAAGTGGGGGCTTGGAAAGCTGCAAAATTTTAGCCTTTTAAAATAAACCAAAAAAACCAGACTTTGCAACATAAAGTATTAGTATTTGATTTGCCACTCATAATATGAAGGTTAAGATCATAAAAGAGCATGAATTCTAGCAAGGCATTTGAGGCAATCTTTGAAAAAGTACTTTTTTGTTAAGAATCAACTAGAAATTAAAATCTTGTTTTATCTTTCTTTTAGCTACTCCACAGCCAGAAGAAAATGAGCTACATGCCTACTATTTAAAATGCTTAGAGAATATAGTGCAGCTTCTTGATTCTTAATGATCATCAGGTGACTTCTCATGTTGAAATTGGACAGCTTGTTCAATGGGAGACTGAAATTTAAAGAAAACACTTCTAATGCACGGATCTGTGCCAGCAGCATATATGCTATCGAAGAAATTTATGAAGCCTTTGAGGAAGTTCATCCCTTTGAACCAAAGAAATTGCACTAAATGTGGTTCAAACTATTTGTACTGTAATCCCAATGGGAAATTATAATGATGATGCTACTATGTAAAGTATGTACACAGAAGAAGGAATGTACAGAGGAAAAGGATGTGAAAAATCAGTTATTTTCTTAAATTATGCATTGAAATTGTTACTGTAAAGTATTAGAATTGCTGTTTTGGATTGGTCTTAATAAAGAAGTTTTTAACTGAGATCAGCATTTGTTGTTGGTGGGTTGTAATTTGTGATGTTGCAGATGTGCATGGTGCATACTTAGATTCAAGAACTGAAAAAGCTGGCAGTCAATTGCTGATGTTACAGGTGACAAATTAACATGGCAATTTGTTCAGGATGTGAGGTATGTGCATCAGTTTTAGTTAGTTACGTTACAACATTGTAGAAAATATTTGAGACACAATCTCTTGGTTTCCAGTTATAAACACTTCAAATCTTTCCCTTGAGGAAAAAATCTGTCTGTTATGCAGGCCTGGGTTTTCTTTGAACTGCTACTATGTAACCATTGTCATAAGGTTTTTCAGTGTTCTGTGCTAAATGAGTTTGAGAAAAAAATACATTGATGCCTGACCACAGGACAGTTTTTTGCTGAATGTGCTTCTGAAATATCTAGGAGGGTGTTTAGATTTCCATCAACCCACAAAGTTTTTGTTTTGTGTCAGGGACAGGTAAAAGTGAGCAAATAGAAAGCAAAACTTGGGTAACATCTCTAAAAGAGTTGTAGCGAGACCATGTCTACCTGTAATTGGTCTTTTCTTCCTAACTGGGTGATGGAAGTATTTTGCACTGAGAGAGGGGATTTTGTTTGTTTGTTTTACGATTCTTAGAAATAAAGTGTGACTTGACATTATTCAGCTGACATAAGCACGATGCATTTAGCGGCTGGATTAAATCATTACTAGAAATGTAACTCTTGGCTAACCTCCTGCTCCTCCACCAAACAAAAAGCAACGATCGACCACCAGACTCTGATTCTTTTCCACATGATACTTTGAATAATTATTGGAACTTGCAAAACGGTTATTAAATGCTGTCATGCTCATCCCCTAATATTGCAGAACTGTAAGCTGCAGGGCAGGAAAAAGCTCGACAGCAGACAGCTCTGCAAGTCAGCGTTTGTTGTCTGGGTTTGGCGGA